TCTTCTACAAACCTAACAGGAAAGCAAGGAAAAGACAAATGGAATGTTGTACTTCCTATGGTGATTCTTGGCTAAGACTAAGGAGGAGACCACATTTGTCTCATTCACCACCATAAAACACCTTTCTCTTTATGCTTTTGCTTTATGCTTTATGCTTTCGACCTCATGCACATGTGGTCCAATCCTAACTTGCCATGTGGAGAGTCCTAATCATTCTCTTAATCCATGCTTAACCTACAAGATACACAAATGAAACTAGATTAGCAGTGTTGACTTGGATCAAGTCAGCTCTAGTAAAAAAGTCAACCTAAGTCAAGATCAACAAGTCAACTAAAATTAACTATACTCAATTCAACTTAGGGAATTCAAATTAAGCTAATAGAAAATAAAGATAGGGTAGAACTAGAAGACTCCTCTCTTGTTATGCCTTCATCATTACCCCTTTTACCTGTGATCTTATGGTTGAACAATCAAGGATCAAGTTTGAGTAAAATACCCTGACCAGATCTGGTTGAATGTTCCCCAGATACTTTACCAAGTTCTTTAGCTTTTGATGTTTGAGTTGACGTCACAGAGAAGTGAAACCTTCTCTATCAAGCTAATTGAATAAACTTTGGAATGACCAATTAATTCTGGCTAAACTCCGAGGTGAATTTGTTCATCCTATCAATATCCCCATTGAACTAGGCCTCAAGATGACCTCTAGGATTCACTTTGGGTGCTTGAGAAGAAGACTCTCCTTTGCTTTTCTTTCTGCCAGACTTGGAATGTTTGAGCATGTTTGAAAATGGGAGAGTTTGAGCGTAGATAATAGAATAAAGAGTAATTATGATTATGTAGATCTAACTTGTACAAAATACTTATTTAAATGACTATGAAATTAGATAAAGTTGAGTTAAGTGAAATACAATGAGTATTAGAACTCTTTAATGTATCAACTAAAATGTTCTTCTTTTTTACCTTGTTAATCTTGTCTTATTTTTAATGACATGTATTGTTTTTGAATTTCTTTTTATTTTGATTAGATGAGCTCATGCACGTGATTATTAATTTGAAATATATTAAAGGTGTTTCAAACAATATAGATTTGAATAAATTTAAATTTGAATGTGATAATTCATATTTCAATTTTCAATTTTAAAACTCACCTTTTCTTTACAATACCAACATGTTTCGCTAGTTAGGTAAATTTGAGAAAGAATTGTTTAAAGTTGCATGGTTACATTCAATTGAAGTTAATGCTAAAAAAAATTGAAAATCAGGGTGGAATCGGTTGTTAGTAATCCTAATCATCGTAAATGTAAATGAAAATTCAAAATCAGAACCATTTTGAAAAGCATGCTAGAATCGATAAATAAACCCATTTTTAGGTTGTTAGTAACCTTAATCACGGTAAATGCAAACAAAACTTAATGCAATACAAACCTGAAAATTGGAACCAATTTTGGGGAAAAACTTTTTTATCTTCGCTGTCATTATATTAGATGGAAGCTAAAAACAACAAAACTTGAAAATTATGCTCAGATGGTAACAGCTCTAATGATTGAAAATCATAATGCAAAAGTAAAATGGACAAAGGAAAAACATAACCTAGGAATTGAGCGTTGCAAATGCATACACCCATCAATAGGTTTGACCATAAAAAAATGATAGTTTTCTCGAGCATGGAGGTATGGATATGAGAAGAAGATTATTTGAGGAAAAATGTGTCACTGGAAACTTAAAGTAATTTTTTTTTTGAGATACTGATTAAAAAAAAAAAAAAAGGTTGGAGTAGGTTTATTTATGAGTAGAAAAGGGTGGGTAAGAGAAGGTTTACCACGAAGAGAGGAAATTGTTTGAGGAAAGCTTATAATGATGTGAAAGTAAACGTAATTTAATTTTAAAATTTTTTGAAGTTTTTTTGTGATGGTTACACATAAAAGAAATTGCCATTTATATTGCCATGAATTATATATATTATAGATTATAGATGCGTCAATGTGTATATTTATTCAATAAAAATATCAAGTTTATTTTTTCTTATTTTTTTTTGTTTTTACTTTAAATTAATATTTTTCATAAATTTTAATAATATCTTTACATAATTATTGTAAAAATAATTTATTTGTATTTTAGATATACAAAATTTACACGATGTTACATTTGGAACGAGCAATTCATGAACTTTGGGAAATGACCTGATATATTACTAAAGTTTATTTAGTCAGTTAAAAATATTTATATGTTTTATTTATAAGAAAGAATAAGTATTATCTTCGTTAAAATTCTTAATTTAACGCCGTATTGAATATTTTAATATGAGTATAGGTTTATCTCTCATTTATTTATTTTATTTTAACTCGAAAAAGTTAAATTAGTGTTTGTTTGAAAGCATGTCAAAAGAAAACCATTTTTGAAAAATACTATTTCTCAATGATACTACTACCTTTAGTTTCACAATTGAAACCACACAAGACTGCAATTGTAAAACACACACAGATAAACCGGGTTTTGGGATTGCGAGATCCATGATGAAACTGTTCGATGCTCACTGTCACCTGCAGGACCCGAGAATCTTAAGCAAGGCCCCGCAGCTCATAAAAACCGCACAAGACACGGGCGTTGTGTACTTCGTTGTAAATGGGGTCTGCGAACAGGATTGGCACTCTGTGAAACACATGGCCGAAACATTCCCTTGCGTCATCCCTTGCTTCGGACTTCATCCATGGTGAACTCCAATTGTTTGTGTTTTTGTTGATTTAGGTCAATTGAAAATCTCTTAAAGGGTTTTGGCATAAAGTTATGTGGTTGCAGGTACGTGAAAGAACGGAGTCCCCGTTGGTTTAAAACGTTGAGAGAGTATTTTGATTCTACACCAACTGCTGCAGTTGGAGAGGTAATTGTATGCTTTTATTGCCAAAGCAGTTGAAAACTGACAAACAGAGCCTCTTTCCCTTTATATTTTATTAGTTTTTTTATCACAAGAATTGAACTCATGTTCTGCTTTTGAAACATTGATTATTCTTTTTGAGGTTCTCTGTATAGACAGGGCCTATTTACATGAAAGGATACTGAAAAATACAGTAAAAGAAACATGAGTTGGTTGTGGACCAACTCAGCCACTATTAACAAACCCTATGAGTGTTAAATATGTGGCCACTAATTTGCTTATCTAATACCCTTAACCTTTTTTACTAGGTTTAATTATCTTCTGGGTTCTTAAAGTTACAAAAACTTTTTATTTTTAACTTTTATAATTAGAATTATCCCTCTTATGTTCCTTGATATTAAAAATTTTAATCCCCTTTAGTCTTTCTTTAAGGATTAAAAGGGATTAAAATGATGTGTAGGGAGAAAAGAAATTAAAATTGATACATGTAGGAACAAAAGGAGATGTTTTTAAGAATAAGGATTAAAAGGATTTTTTTTTCCTTTTGACTATGAGGAATGAATAAATAATTTAACTTTTTATATCAATGAGTAAAACATATTTTGATCCCTTAAAATATTTTGAAATTCAGTTTTAGTCCATATAAAAATTTAATACTTTGTAAATCACTATATTTTTACTGAAATACAGGTTTTGAAGAGAATCAGGGAAGGACTAAATGTTACTTTTGATAAATGAAGAGACTAAAAAGGTATTCAATTTTTGTAGGGACTAAAACCAAATTTTTAGATGTTTTAAAGGGTAAAAAACATTCTATCGTTGATTATTTTGTGTTTGAGACTTTCCCTTTCAATTGGTTCATTCCATGTGATTTTTCTTTCCATGTTTCATGCTGGAGTATTCATCATTTTTTTTTTGGGTAGTTTTCTTTGACTAATGGTTTTTTAAACCATCTAATCTCAAACATACTTGATCACAGATGGCATAAACAGTAGCATCATATGTTTTGAAACTAAATAGAGTATATTACATTAAGATGCATGATAGGACATCACCATAGGTAGAGAGAGAGCAAGAAAGTCTATAGGCGGAGTAGTTAAGACGGATTTAGAGATTATTAGTTCGTGTATAGACATGATTTACGACAGAATAATATTTCATATATTTAACCCATGTAGACAATCCCACCTAGTGGGAAAAGAGTTATTTTTGTTATTTATTTGAATATGGAAGTAAAGTATGGGATTATAAAAAGATTATGACTCTAGCAGTCCACAATACCAGTTACCAAGTTAATAGGTTTTGTTCCAGCACTGACGAGTCCTATTTTCAGTTCTGTGCAAGCCTTCTGAGACTTTTGACTCGTGGCTAAGCTTTTTGCATGCTTAGCTTCTGTTTTCCTCTCTTAGATGTAGGGTATAAAAATTCATCTAGGTTGCTTTAATCCTTATGTACAGATATACATATTCATCCATTTTTAATAAATTTATGGATGAAATTTCTTTTGCTTTTGTTTTTCATGCATCTTTAATTTGTGTGATTGATTTACTTTTCCTCAGATTGGTGTGGACAAAGGATCACATGGAAGGAAGATTGACTTTTCTGAGCAGGTTTTAGCTTGTCATTTTATTTTTTTTCCTATACTGTGTTGTAGGTGGAGAGGGAGGGAATAGGGAGACACGGGACACTAAATGATATTATTTGTGTATAATGTTGCGTTACAATATGATGGTTCATGAAATCTAATTCAGTACGCCTTGTTTGTACTAATAACTAATGAATGTCCAGATAGGCATAACCACATTTGCATTAACTTTCAGGAAACCTGAGTGTATATCTATTGTTGTTTTATCTAACATCATGTGGCACCTGGTCTGTTTTCTTCCTCCTATCACTAAATTTCCCCGTCATTGATGCTACCAATCTTCAGAATTTTAATCAAGTTGCTAAATTGACCAATACCGTGAGTTAGACTTTGATGGAGCAGAAGAGAGGGATTACTTGACAGTTGACAGTGAAGTAGTGCTTGAAGAGCTGTTTTGCTTGATATTTTGGGATGATACTGTATTTCTGTTTGAAAACTACTTTAGTTTTTTTTTTTTTTTTACACAATATCTGGGCTAAACATTTAGTTGTTCTTTATTGATCTAACCATATTCATATCTGCATGAAGATTTTTATCCCAACTGCGAGTGATTAGTTCCACCAATTTTGATTGGTTTTCTGCAGTCTCCTTGCATATCGTCTTTATCGCTAGTTGGTTTTGGGTTGCTTGAAGTCTTATCTCCTCCATGACAACTCTCATGCGTTCTAGCTCTCCCTCAGCGACTTCAACTAGACCGTCCATTAGAATTGTAATTTCTGGTTCTCCGTGTTTTGTTTTGCTTACTTTCCTTCTTGGTGGTATTCACCTGTCGAAATGTAAATCCGGCAGGTTGGACCAAATAATACATACCAGCACCAAAAATTTAAAAGACCAAGCACAAAATACAAGAAGAAAGAAATACTATTATTCTGTATTATTTGCAACATAAAAGGGAAATACAGAAGGATAACAACTCTTATTGCCCAGAGCTAGGCTCCTCTAGAGTAACCCAACTGGTTCTCTTCTCTCTCTCCAAAAACCCCCCCGCACTAATATCCCCTCCTTCCACTTATAACTGATATGTCCTAAAAGAAAATACCCTTCTCTCTCCTCTAACTACCCTCCCCCTTAATCATGCCACCTCAGCCATATGTTTCTTCTTTCTCACATATACTCTTCCTCATCTTTGCTTGCTCCCTTCTTGGACTAGTGGTTCATGAGGCCCACTAACTCTTTGGGCCTCATCATTGTCCATGCACGAACTTGAACAAGTACAGTTGGCTGCTTCCTGAAAACTGGTAGAAGGTGTAGGGCTGCACATTCCTCAGCATTGCCAATCTTCTTTCCCGAGTCCAAATGTTGAAATTCAAATATGTGTGGAAGAAATTTAGTAACACATTTTAAATTTTGTGTCAGGATGCTTATGGACAATAAATTACAATCCAAATTAGGACCATGAAATACAAATCTCAATATTATGTCTTCAAAAATTATCACAAGACAGTTTTTGTCTCAATATAGAAGTGGTTCCATCTGCTATGCGAACAACAAAGTTTATCATGACAAGGAGTATATTCACTGAATACATTGATATCTCCTGAGGCCCCATTCAATAATCCAGAATGCTGTTTTATTTCGGCAGACATGAAAAACAGTTGAGCAATTGTAGCAGTGGAAGAATTAGTACTTGTGTTTTGGAAGTTTTTGCAACAATTTTCATATCATTTCCATCTGTTTTTTGTTGAAAACATTGCACTCAAACTGTTGCCTAAGATGATTTTGGCATATGTTTACAGTCTTGGTTCAGGTAGGAGGACCAAAGCGTTGTATGTTCATGAAAATTAAGTGCCATTTCTTAAGAATGTTGGATGGAGAACAATCTGCAAAGTGAGCTTTGAAGTTATGTTGTCTGTGAAGAAAACAATAAATTAAATTTCAAACTGTATTTGTAGAAGTGATATAACCTATAAATTTTGGCAATTGTGGAACTTCTGATCATCAGTGAGAGAGTGAAGGTTTCTGTAAAAATGCTGACTTATGAATATTAATGGTTGGTGCCACTTTTGTCATCTCTGATGCTTTAGTGCCTCAAGGACAAACTAATTTTCGAAAGAATAGCAGTGTTTAGGCTTCAAAACTGGTCAAACTACAACTTCTCAATGAAAATTTATCTTTTATTGATATATGCTACATAGAGTCATTATCAAAGTTTTGTTGTTTGTAATGCTACCTCTAATGTAGTACTTGCAAGGGTACTTACTTGGATCTATTGTTCTTAAAGTTAAGAATGTCATTTCATTTATCAAATAGAGTTCTAACCTTCTGGTAATTATGGAAACTTTTCTACTGAAAACAAAATGACATTCAGCTTTAACTTTAAGATGAAACAGATTGGCCAATCATACATCTACAACAGAATATGTCCTTTTTGTGCAAGAGTGTTACCTAGATTTTTGGCTGCTAATGCATTAGGACATCTGTGCAGGTTGAAGTATTGAGGCAGCAGCTTGAACTTGCAAAAGAGTTGAACAAGCCAGCATCTGTTCATTGTGTTCGTGCTTTTGGTGATCTTCTTGAGCTAATGAAGTATGAATATATTTTCTTCTTTCAGTTTCAATTGCTACTTTAAAAGATTGCTCAATAATAGTTATTAGGGCATGTAAATATGTGAAAGGCAACGTTCCATTCCATGCCGTGGTGATTGGATAAAGAGAAATCATATTTTACGAAAGGTTGATTCTGTAGGTTATAACTGTTGGTGATGGTTTGCTTCTTACTAGATTTCATTGTTTAAACTATTGATATATTGTGAGAACAATTTTATTTGGACTCATTTGAGGAAGTGATTAGCTGCTGAATTTGGGCCCTACTACGTACATAATCTGGCCTGTTTGGCGTCGATGATCGCTCTTGGAAAGTTGGTTGGATGCATTGCCCACATGCGGCAGCTTGTAAGCTAGGTGGAAGATGCCACAATGGGAGTATCAAAATAGACTTAGTTTGATGGACCAATTCGGAAGACATAAGGGAGATTTCGGCTCTAGATACCATATTATAAATGGTAGAGACAAAAGAATAAAATCCCTGTGTTTTTTTACCTAGTAGAGAAACATATGTATATATAGATATCATGGTACAAATAGATGTATATTTAGTTACTTCTAACAATTTTGAATTGTTGAAAGTATAGAGATCAAACTTCCTTATGTGAAGATAAATACATGTATATCTAGAAAAAGCACCAATAAAAGTTATATGAAAAACCATTAGTTGATAACACAGGAGAAGGACCCCACATATCACTATAAACAAGTTCAAGAGGAGAATGATAAATTGTTTGAGATAATGAGGATGGAATTTAATGAGCTTTGCCAATATTGTTAGCTTTACAAAAATAAGAAGCTTCTTTATTAGAAAAAGGAAGATTACATTGTTGAAAAACAAATTTCATCACATGAGCATTTGTATGCCTAGTCTAACATAAGGTTGAATACTAAAGTTGTTAGTGGTTACAAAATTAACAAAAAAAAGGAGATTAAGCATGGGGGGCAAAGATGGAAGGAGAAGCTTGAAGCCGCATATTAAGAAAAACAGAGACCATTTGGACCAACATGTCATTACCTGATATTTAACAAAATAGTGAGTAGCATGGAATTCAAAGTAAACAAAATTATCCTTAACAAATTTACTAACACTAATTAATATTTAGTGATAGTGGGAACATGAAGTAAATGATGAAGAACTAAAGAAGTATTAGGATTATTAGGAGCAGTAAAATAGGAGGAACCAAAGGATTGAATTGGAAAACCTTGGCCATTACCAATGTAAATTGGTTTAGAACCTTCATAAGGAACATCTTGGTTAATATTCTAACTATCTTAAGTAACATGTAAGGAAGCACCAGAATTAGAGAACCAATTAGAATTAGAATACTGAACATTGGGTGTAGGTAGCAAACGAGCTCCAATGTTGGTTAACAAAATAGTAGGGGGATGTTGATTACTATGAAGAATGACAATAGTTGTTGGGAGGGTAGAAAAGAGGAGGAACAAAGTGTTGTTGGTGTTTAGGAAAATGTGAGTACATATTGTATCGAGTAAATGGATGAAAATTTCCTTGAAAATTCTGATTGGAATAATCTTGAGAATTTGAGTAAAAGTTACCTTAATTGAGAGGCTGGTAATTCTGATCCAACCGGTGATAACATTCATACTTAAAACATACTGGACATTGAATATAAACAAATTGCCCTCATGACCTAACCACGTTCTCTAGAAATAGAACCACAACCATTACGAAAAACAGAGGAACCACGGAAACCAAAAACATAGTCTTGATTTTGCACAGGTTGAGTCATAACTGCCACAAGTTCATCATTTTGTGAAATAGAATTAGATGTTGATGTTTGAGTCAAATTAACAAAGACATAATCAAGAACAATTTTCTTGTGAAACTTTTGAAGTTGAAACTTTTAAACTTACTTTCGATTAAAGAAATAAAAGATTCATAATTTTTAGGAAAACCTTCAAGAATCACATCAATATGTTGTTGAAGAGAAACAAGATCTCCCATAGAAGTAAGATAATCCACCTAAGGTTTTTATAGAAGAGTACCAGAGGCCCTTTTCTGATGTTTATAATTTAGCCACGGTTTTAAAGTTGTTATATACTTGAATTTTCATTGTCTAAAACATCAATTCATCGGAAGTGACATCTCTGAAATTTTTTTCCAGGGAAATGGGGCCTTTTCCTGCTGGGGTTATTCTTCATTCTTACCTAGGTTCTGCTGAGATGGTTCCTGAATTTTCCAAACTTGGTGCTTATTTTTCCTTCTCTGGGTTCCTTATGTCCCTAAAGGCAAATAAAGCAAAGAAAATGCTGAAGATGGTGATTTTCATCCCTTCTGATATATGTGATTAATGTTGAATATAATTTGTAGTATAATGTTAAAACAGTGACATTCTTATTTTTATTCTATTTAGGTCCCTTCCGAAAGGATTTTGTTGGAGACAGATGCACCTGATGCACTGCCAATGTCAAACATAGATTCTCTTCATTTTGTTGAAGGAGATGCTTCTCTTACTGAAGAACTTCAAGCCCAAATAACAACATCGTCTTCAACTTCTGTTTCTTCCCTCCGTTACTCATCCCATGTATTGGCAGATGCTTCGAAGTTGCCAAAGGAAACACTCAATCATCCGGCAAATATTCATAATGTATGTACCCCAATTAACTGCCACCTTGGGTTTTCAATTATGTGGCTCCCTTGGAGATATATGATAATATTGTTAATTAAAAATCACAAAAGTCTCGTTAGTCTAAGCTTACTTTATGAGAAAAACAATAAACAACAAATTTTCTGGTAATTAAGAATGCCTTAATAAATTGTATGAACCCTCCCGTGAAGCTTCTAAATCCTATCTCAACTATCTCTACCTTCAAATTATACAGAAATTTGTAGGTTTGTTTTACCTGAAGGGAGATCGTCTTATAGGATAACTCAAATAAGGGGTGTAATCGTATTTAAAGAGAAACTTAAATACAGTCCTTCAAAGCATATTTTTGTTATGCAGATTACCGAGGTAAATTTCAATTTTAATTAGAGAACAACAAAAACAATACTTGAAGGATTGTATCTAATTTTCTTTAACATATATGAGGGTTCCCCTTCTTACATTGCATTAGTAAGGATGGCAAACCTCAAATTAAACAAAGCAGGGACATTTGCTATCAGTGTCAAGAAATATCAACGGGAATATAGTACTGAATTTTAAGTACTGTAGAATGTATATAATGAATTTTTTAGTGTTTCAGGGACCTGTTTTGTTAGATTTAATTTTTTAATTCATTCTACTCGCAGGTACTTGATTATGTTGCATCTATGCTAGAAATTACGAAAGAAGAACTCGCTGAATTATGTTACCAGAATGCAGTCCGGTTAGTATCCTATGAGGGTTCCAAAGTACTACAAAACTAGACAAAATGACATTTTCTTTTAAGAAAAAAATTTCTTAGCTTTGAAAGTTTTTCTTTAGGAAGTTCCAACTAGATTTCGTCAAAGTACAAGCAGATAGATTACAGCAACAGTTTGCTATCGTGTATGATATATATACGTTGTGTGCCTCCCAGAGTTTATTACATGCAATATATCTAGCTTAAAGGTTCAAAGTTGTGGAAATAATTTTACTGTTTATAAGCATGAAAGCTATTAATTATATATGACTGGAGCAGTGAGATGTTATGTATCATAGATAACTATGAATTACTTCGACACATATTATCTTATAATAAACTCTTTTTCTTTCTCAAGTTTAGAGTATGGCCTATGTATTACACAGGAAAGCCGTTTCATGATTTAAGTTGACATTTTTAGTGTAAAGATATCTTTCCACTTTTAGTGTAACAGACATTGAGGTAAAATTAAAAAAAAAAAAAGTTTTCATTAATGATTATGATTATTATATTAACTAACCCAAAAAGATATTGATATTTCGTGTATGTTTGGTGTCATATCTCACTAAATATATCTATAAAAAATTGATCTTATTTCATTTAAGTTTTCAAAAATTCAATTTGGCTTATATTGTCATTTTTATAGATAATATTTGTCAATAAACATATTAAATATATAATAAATGGGAAGAAAT